AACGGGCATCAACGCTGATTTGTACCCCATTTGCACCGCAGACGGCTGACTCTGCGCACGGTAACTCAACCTCCGCCACCATCCTACAGTCTAAGAGACCGCGATTTTATCGAAATTCGAATTCAAAGTTCAGCAGTGAATTTAGTCCAATCAGGTTAAAATTTGTATTTGTGGGTATTTTGTTATGCTGTTTCCGAACACAATGGTGGTTTTGCTTGGAACCTTGAAATTTTTTCCTCTTTGTGTGATGGAGAAAATACTTCGTGAAAAGATGCTTTCTTGGCTTGGCGGTAATGTTATTTCTCCAAATCAACAAGGATCTATGGCGGGATCTTCCACCGCTACTAATCTTGCGGATTCCGTTTTTAACTGGACTTTAACGTTGAACAGAGGAATGTCTACAGACGTCGTTTACGTAAATTTCTCTGAAGCTTTTGATAGAGTTAATCATAATAAACTCATATGCAAGCTAACGAGTTGGTTTGAGGGATAATCTTTTGAGCTGGCTTAGATCTTATCTGAGCAACAGGGAAAAGACAATCAAAGTAGGACATCAGTTTTCAATTAGACATGTCTGCCGCAGTGGAGTTCCACGAGGAGGGGTATATTCTCCATTTCTTTCTTGTTGTGCACCGCCGAGGTCCCGTATTTTTTGAAAAGTCTACTCATTTTACGATTCAGATGTATGCAGACGATGTTAAAATATAAGGAATCTATGACAGAGATAACCGGCACGGAGTTCAGTATGCAATGAAGAGATCGTTTGATCAGATGGCATACTGGGCATCTAGCTTTGATATCCCATTGCATTCAGAGAAATGTTTTGTGCATTTCAGTGATGTGGAACAACCTGATTATGAGATTAACGGAATTCTTCTGAAAAAGGGTTGGACTGACAAGGAGTATTGAGTGCTTTGGTTGATTCTGAGTTGAAGTTTTAAAACGTGTTGATTACGCCGTAAACGAGGCTTATTCAGTCTTATTTGCCATACTTCGATCAGTTCATGTAGATACCCCAGTGAATCTTAACGACTCTAAAAAGCGTCGCCTTACCTGGAGTATTGTTCTGTGATTTGAAAACCTTTTTTGAAGAAGAAATTTATCACATCTAGAAAAAGTTGAGCAAACATTTACTCGTATTCTGTTTTTGAGATTCGTAGAACATTTGCTTTTACCGAAAGTACATGAAGATCGTCTCAAGTTCTTAGCAATGAAAAGCTTGGACACAGAAGAATATACCTTCATCATTCATCATCGATCTCATTTTTGCGTTCCGGCTTATACGTAAGAAACTTACAAGGGAAGGATACTTGGTCGAAGTGGCGTTTCCATACAAAATGTATACTATCTTATAAAGCATAAAACGCTAATTCCAAACCTGCCTGTTTTCCTTATCAGCAAAGCGCCTCTAGGAGGAGAATTGCGAGAATTTATCATGCAGAAGTTTGAAAGGACGGTTACAATAAAACCGTTCAAAGCTTTAGTCCGTGAGCTCATATGGGGCCATGATTGCTACTAGGGGCTTTTAAGCACAGATACTTTCAATCTGATAAACTCATGCTGTCATTACTCCTTTCAAGCGCCGATCTCAACACCTGTTTTTGTCCTAGCCAAATCATTGTATTTTATCCCAAAAAATGTCTAGAACTCTCCTCCCAGAAGCGTTTTGCAGATAAGGAAAGCAGATTTGGAATCAGCGTTTTATGTTCTATAAGAAGTATAGATTTCAGATGGAAAAG